TAATAAAAATATACCCTTCGATAAAACCCTGCATATTAGTCGTGCGTATGTCTATATTAAAGCCATATTAAACATATATAGAAGTATATTAGGTCATAGTAAACAGTCGACCACTACTCCTATAATTTCACATTAACAAGAACAATATGATACATGATTCAATACTATTTTGACAATTTTGATTGTGACTTACCATGGAATGCTTCTTACACCTGATATATATTCATCGTTTCCAGCTCTTAGTGCAGACAACGATCCCTGCCAGCACCGGCCGCACTTGGCCGAGGCAAACATTGTGTGGCCAAATGCAGCTATGCTGCGGCCAGGTATGGCCAAATGGTGTGGCTATGGTCTGGCCATCAACACGTTGGCCACACTTGGCCACACCTTGGAAAAAATTTTGCGCGCGGGCTTTTTCTCTTTTTTTTCAATTCATCGCGGCCTCGGTTTTTTGGCCGTAAACGCCAACCATGACGAACGGTCGCCTAACGTAAAACCCCGAAACGAGTCACAGCGAGCCTCCAAGTCCCAGATAAAATAGGTTTCGTCGGTAAGTGCCCCACTACAGGGCAAATGCGGATGCCGAAGATGGTAAAGTCGGAAGGCAGTATTGTGAAAGGACGATTTATTGAATACGTTAGTCGAGAAATGTACATGTACAAAGTCTGTCTTGGATCATGAAGGTTTCAGCGACCTTCGTATCCAGGATGAGAAGTCACTTCCACTGGCCATTGGTAGTTCCTGCATTAAAAAAAACTTTCGTAAGACATACGTAATGCAGGCGCAACGGAAGTATTTATACACTGTATCTAATACGTACGATTTTAATAGTAAAAATCACATGAAGTAAATAGCATGCTGTGTAGGATTGGCAATTCGCTACATTTGCTTACCGGTTCTTTGGCGGGGGATAATTGTGGGCATGTGACGGCAGGTATGGTGCTTTCTGTAGTCTAAATAAATGTGGATGAAAACTCCGAAAGTTTGTACCTGACGAATGTTCCGCCTACGTGTCGATCTTCCTCCATACCGGTCCTGTGATCCATGAAACAACCTGATTGCTGTCCGTCGAAATATCTCAATGGTGCAGTTGCCAAAACGGGGATGTTGGGCAATTGCATCTGCGCGTGAAAATAAACAAAAATTGGACTTACCTTTACGGACAGAAAAAAGTGGACAGGCCATGAAGGACTTCTTCTCCTTGGATCCGCCAGTCCAACAGAAGTTGTGGCATAAGGCCCAATAGAACCGTCAGTAGGTTTCTAAGGAAGTCTGCCTCATTTCGACCACCTACCATAGCCAGTTGCCGGATCTGAAAACAGTCAAGTAGATGTGCACATACCGCCTCGTTTGAAAAACCGTCTTCTACGCTAAGTCGACGAAGAAAGTTTTCGGATGCCTCCTCGGTACACAGCGGTAAATTTAGGGAGGAGGATGTTAAAGAACCGGCGCTGGAGGCTCTCTGCAATGCATTGACAACATCTGATAGTGTTGCCTACATCTGCTGCACACTGCTATGAAGAGCCATAAGTTGCTCAGCTAGGAAATCGTTCCTTCTCCTAATAGTTTGTTAGGGAGAATGTTCACAGTCTTACTCAAGTGCCGCTAGCCGGACATTTGTGTTTATTAACTGACCTTTTATGTCAGCCATGTCCTTTTGCACCTGCTGGCTAAATTCCGTCGAAATTGTAATCGTGGAAACATATGACGAAATTGTCGTGGAGTGTCTAAAGTAATAAATGATAAGCGTTGTCTACTCAAGTGAGGACAGTAGTGTTGACTGACTGGGTCCAATCGACGCAGTGGAAAACAAGTGTGGCACATTCTCCTCCGTTCTTGGCCTACGAAATGTCTTTAATAGTCATACTTACTGTAGTATTGGCGGTGGAGCTGGCCAACCAGTTGGCTCTTTCGGTTGGTTTGGCGAGTCCTCGTCGTCGGCGTCTGAGGTTAGTTTGCGATTATGTCTGCAAAGGAAAATTAGTTGTATATTACATGGTAGCACACCCGATCATCTTGCCCCTACCCAACTGGCGCGGCTCGGAACTGGAGAGATTATCAGTATTCTGCGCTCTCCGCGACGCCTGTCGAGCTTTTTCCAGCGTTAGGCCACGTTTTAATACCTTGACGGCGTACGCCTTAGTATCATCCGGTGGCCGCTGGTTGTTCTCCAGCAAAATGCGGAGCTGCCTGTGCTTTTTAGGCCATAGTACGCTGCCCGCGTTGAAGAACCAGGCTTCAACCACTTCCGCCACATATTTGTCGTTGAAAAATTCAACCACGGAATACATCTGTAGCAAATGTTACATCGTAAGTCGTAAAATGCAGAAATACATCTGTAAAAAAGCAGACAGTGGAATATAAATCACGGGCATGTTGTTGTGTGAAGGAGGGGGAAAAGGTGATATTGTTTGTTGTTTTAAAGGACACGTACTTGCAAATAATGTCGGAGAGTAAGTCAGTTATCGGAGTGTCTGATAAAATGGTGGCTTTAAAAATATATATAAGAATAATGAAGGGACGTTACAAAAAGCTCCTGACAGTCGCGGAAAGGGCAGTAAACTATGCTGTTACCCGACAGTGATTTCAGTGCACAGGGCCTATGTCCGATGAGTACGACATTGTAGGGTGGCTCAGTGGAAATGACATATCCCTTGTGAAATATAGTCGTTGATTGACGGGGCAGTTTAAAGGGCCGTTGCACTCCCTCATCGTCGTCCAACAGCATAGAACGTGTAGACTGTTCAGACAAGCGTCTTCCGAAAAACGCCTGTACACTTGAGCGGCTATGTTAGTGGGCCCTTTTATGCTACAACGAACGTGTCGTAAAAAAGACTCAAATAAAAATGCTGAAAAATTATTCAGCACCCCAAACCGAACGACGTCAGCGTGCAAGTGGAGAAGAGAATGAACATTGTAAACAAGAGCAGATGACTTATAAAATGTGGAAAACTTATAGACAAAATTACACAAAAGTTGGCGGCCATAATCACCACAAGATATATGCAAGGTTGAGTGGCAAAATATGTACACTGCCACGGAAAAATGATTATAACGGGGTCCGTCTAAATACGGGGACAAAACAACGGGACCTATGTACAGGAGGAATTGCCGATATTCGACAGCCTTCCAAAACTCCATGAAGTCAAGTTTTCTACACTTGCGTGAAAACTTTGTCGGTAAGCAGTGGCTGCATGGCTCATAGATGCGTTTAATGACACAAAGTTGCCACGAAAACCAAGTCGCCAAGTACGCAAAAATTTTCGCATAACACCGAGGCAGACTTGGTGCATGTAGTCAATTGGGAAACAGGAAACCATGTCGATGGGCAAATCCTCGAAGGGAGATCTGCCCTTATGATGCGGTCCCTGACTTCGCAAACTTAACGACCTGTCATCACGCAGACGGCCACTGTACTGCGGAAATGTCATGCGATTCGCAGTATCTTTCCCTTTGTGACAGCATCTTCAGCAGTTAGGATTGCAAATACAAAATAGCGTACCTGTCGCATCCATAGTAGCCATTGTGGGCCTTCACTTGTCGTACATAACAGCGGGCTGGGGTGTCGCAAATCACATTGAGCAAATGCTCTTTGATGACACTTTCTGTACGTGGATCGCTTAGGCCCGTGGTGAGAAGGCCCTTCAGTTCACTAACACAATCGCCCAGAAAGTCTTCCAACGGTTCGGGGTTACCAAAACCGCAGAACACTCCAAAGACAAATGGCTGCCCAACAACGGGGTGGTTAACACGAGCAAGGATCGGCCACAAGCACTAAGCAGACGATTGAAAGACTTTCATTCCGTCAATGTGCAGTTGAACGTGCACTTCAGGAATGCCCGTTAGTGGGCAAAGGCGCAATTCGTCGAGTAGGCCGCGTTCGAGACCCAGGTGAACGTATTTTCCTCTCTTCAGGGACTTGCTAACGCAAGTTCGAGGAGTCTGCAGTAGCGTCCTTGGTTCGATGGGTAGCTCCGGATGATAGTGCCGCAGCACCTGAAACAAATCCTTTGCTGTGGTCAACGACACTTTCGCCCTCAAACAGAATTCGCGCAAATCCGTCGTCAAGCATCTGCATTTCACTGTGTCCACGGTTCCAGCCACTACAGGCAGTTCGATGTATTCCAGTAAATAAGGCACATACAACTCCTACTCGTTGAAACTTCCGGCATTAGTTCGGGCATTTGCAATTCTGGTGACTCATTTGCAACCAAAGACGTTGATGCGATGAATGGCTCCTCCATAGCAGCATAATATGCCCGCCTCTGGCGCAAGAGCCGCTTGTATATAGTGCTTCGCTAAAAGCCGTAAGACTTACGCTTAATACCAACGAATAACTACTCAACGACAAAAAATAGTTGTAATTTCAACATTGTTCGCAAAATCATAAGTGAAATTATACTAATACATAGGTGGCTAGGTGTTGGCAGGGATGGTAAGCCTCCTGAAAAACACGTAGGAGGTGTGCGACCGCGCCCTTACAGCTGGCCAGTTAGACTGACAACCAGCAACTAGAGCACATCGAAATTTACACAACAGGAAAATAAGTTCAAGGTCAGGCCGATATCAAAGTTCTTTAATTGCCACTGTTTATTTTCTAATAACCCGTAGCCTTCCCCCATCCCCTTGTTCCCCTTCTATCAACCCGATTATGGTTTCCCTTAAGCAGCACGTAAATAATTCTTGGTTTTTTTCCAGAAAATAGCCTTTTATTTAGAAAAGGCCCTTAGCAGTATTAGTGCGTAAAACGGCAAATAACAAACGGCAAATAAACTGTACAAAAAATAGGGGAATCGGTTTGGAATTTTCGACCTCCGCGGGATTTGCTTTTTCCGGGATTTCTGCCTACTGGACGCTCTGCGGGCCCATTTGGATTAAGAAATTGAAGCGTAATCAGCTACTCCTCGAACGATCCACTCGGAACTCCGACAGAACTTTCTTTGGGACGACCATTCTCTGTCAAGAGCACCGCTGGGTTTTCCAGATCCAGAAGCCGCTGAGTCGTTTGATATTTACTTCATATTGTTGGCTTGGTTAAAAAGCTTCTCCTACACCTTTGAATACTTCGTCCATACCTAGAACCCCTTGCGTATCGTTTGGATTAATAATGGGAGTCGACAAAACACCATCAGGACAATGTGCGAAGAACTCGCCGCAAGAGGGATTCGAACCCAGGTCCAGTCGTAGGGTGACCAGCGAGATGACCGGTAGACTATCGGCGCACGGCCAGCAGACTGAAATAAATAAAAGAGTAAACATTATTTGTAGTACAAACGACACTATGTATGAAGGAAAGTCTATTGAGAAGGCCTTGCCACCTAGTATTAGCGCTCGCTCTCTTGATAGTTGCAACCAGGGGACCGCAAAGCGCGCTAAAAGCGTTATCACAGCAAAACATGTTATTAACGAGGACAAGCCGTGTACTGGATGCTCCTTTATTCTGTTAAAAGTCTAAAAACTCGAAAAAAAGCTGACTACTTTAAGGGAGCTCGTGCAAGCGAACGACAGTGTGCAAAACGCGGTGAATAGCGCTAAAGTTAGCAAGAAAAGGGAAAGAGCAAAACTCTTAAACAGCCAAAGAACAGAGCTTGTGGAAAACCTCTGTGCAAGGGCGCCGATACCTAGGACGATGGGAAAATAGCAACGAAGTATCTTGTTTCTATGGAAGACAACCCAAGCGAACCATTAACTTCTCTCAGCCATTCCGCGTGTTCAATAGTGCCCTCATTTGGAAGTGAGGAAACAAGCTCATGGCAAGATGGAAAGGGTAAGCGCCACAACGGGAGTATAGAACCCCAGACGACTCTGGTGGATCTTTTGAGACCTTCAGCTGACAAGGCCGCCGGAAACAGAACAAATGAACACCTTTATCGTCAGCACTGCGTAGTCGTCCAGGGCCTATCGGAGTCGGATGCTCCTCCCCCGAAGGAGAGGATCTCCGCTGACCTTAATATGCTTCGACACCTACTGAACAAAATGCTTAATTCGAATGAAAAGATAACCATTCGCACAGCCTTCAGGATCGGAAAGAAGGTGAGCGAACAATCGGAAACGGTGCGCCCACGACCTCTGAAAATTGTTTTGAACAGTAAAGAGGAGGCCAGCTTACTTCTGTTCATGAAAAGCAGCCGGACTGTTCTCCAGCGGAACGTCTGAAACGCCGCGAATTGGTAACGGTATGGAACAGGAGACTTGCAGCGGGAGAGAGCAACTTGGCCATTTTCAGGAGACGAGTGATACAGAGGAACGCGATGTTGTTTTGGAACCAGCCAGTCATCATGATGGCGGCAGCAACATAATATTGGCAAACCCGAGACAAACCGAACGAAGCACTGTCGAATGTTGCAAACTAAAATTCTTTAACACCAATGCTCAGAGTCTGTTTTCCAAGCTTGACGAACTGAGAATACAGGTAGCCGATACTCTTCCCGATGTTATAGCAATAACAGAAACGTGGCTGTCAGAGGACGTTGGTGATTGTGAGGTAGCATTAACAGGATACCATTTGTTTAGGAGAGACAGGAGAGGCCGCCGGGGTGGAGGAGTTGCCATGTATGTCAAGAGCAACTTAGCAGTGTGTGAGAGAACCGACAAGATTTCTGACGAGACAGAGGCAATTTGGCTGACTATAAAGGCGCGAAGATCTCAGTCCCTCAAAGTCGTAACTATCTACCGGCCCTCGCAGGCGGATCCCGACCCAGATACGTGTCTACTGAAAAGCATAAAAGAGATCGCCAGCCGACCAGACGTTGTTCTCATGTGGGATTTTAATGCACCCTGCATTCGATGGAGCGATACACATGTGAAGTGCTTGATGAATACCTTCGATTACCGTCTACTAACGACAACCCGAAAAGCTCTACTCACGCGACATGTCCTGTTTCCAACTAGAGCTCGTTGAGTCCAACAGGCCAGTTGTCTGGACCTCGTTTTTACCAAAGATCCTGACAGGATAGACGAGGTGTACTACCTACCCCCGCTCGGTCGAAGTGATCATGCAGTGCTTTTATGGGAGTACTTGCTGTACTCTGAACCGTGTACAAAAGACAATACGAGGCCAAATATATGAAAAGGGGACTTTCGCCAAACGACAGCTGAGGCATCACAAATAGACTGGCATGTTTTCTTCTCCGAAAACGTTAACGAGGACTGGAATTTATTCAAGGATCGTTTACTGCATCTAATGAAGAACTACTGTCCCTTATCAAAGCCTAGGACATCAAACCGCCCTCAGTGGCTAACACGAGAATTCAAAATGCAGATCAACAAGAAAGGAAGGTTATGGAAGAAA